TTTATTTTTTAAAGAGAATTATTATTTTATATATATTTTTATTGGTTTCAGAGAGGAAGGGAAAGGGGGGAGAGAGAGAGAAACATCAATAAGAGAATCATTGATTGGCTGCCTCCTGCATACTCCACAACTGGGGCATGTGCCCTGACCTGGAATCAAACCATGACCACCTGGCTTATAGGTTGACACTCAACCACTGAGCCAGGCCAGCTAGGTTCAGGTGCCAGTAAAAATGCTTATATAAATAAAAAAAATTGTATTGCTGGTTTCGTTTTCTTCAAGATATTCTTTGAAACTATTGGGAAATTTAATAAGAATTGAGAAGTTAAAATTTGAAATTACCTTCCAAGACCTAATGGAACCCAGTCTTTCTTTAAATCCTTTCCCAGGGATATGCTTACTGATTTGAGAGAGAGGGAGAATCATTGATGTTAGAGAAAAGCATCAGTTGGTTGCCTCTCATATGCACCTCCACTGGGGGCTGAACGCCCAACCTAGGTATGTGCCCTGACTGGGAATTGAACCCACAGCCTTTCCATGTACACAATGATGACCAAACCAACTGAGCCACCCCAGCCTGGTCATGGAACCAATTTTTAGGGAAGAAAACCTTATATTACTCCTAGATTTCTGCATATCCAAGGTCCAGAATACAGCTAAGTCAGTGGGACTTCATGGAACACCTTGATGACTTTGAGTGGGTTAAATGAGATATAATGTATGCAACATGCTCATCTCTGTGCCAGGCGGGCACTCACTCTTTTGTACTTTCAGTCGGCCTCATCCTGTTTTCTGTGTCATTGTTATGTATTTTCCTTAAAATAGCTCTGGGTTCATAAATTTTGCATCATTTCTCTGAAATGTTGGCCCTAAAAATTGGGAGCAGAGAGTTTAAAACTTTAGCATCCACTTAATATCTCATTGGCATAAGCTCATAAATTCAACCATTATTGAAATCTTGATTTGCATAATGATGATAAAAGAAGTAATTTTCAATATATCAAGATTCTTTTTTTAAAAATCCTACTGGAAGATATTTTTCCATTGATTTTTAGAGAGAGTGGAAGAGAGAGGGAAAGACAGAGAGAAACATTGATGTCAGAGAAACACATCGGTTGGTTGCCTCCAGCACGCTCCCCAACCAGGGCCTGGGCCGGGGAGGAGTCTGCAACCAAAGTACATGCCCTTGAGTGGAACTGAAGCAGGGACCCTTCAGTCTGCTGGTTGACACTCTATCAACTGAGCCAAACCTGCTAGAAGATTCTTTAAATTTATATGTTATTTGCTGTGTTCTCCGTTCCGGTAACTACATCTATAAATTTGTTTCCAGTTTAGATCACATTTTGTTTGACATCATTTTAAATCTCATTATGCTTCCCACAAATGAAGACTATTTTATGAGATAGGTTCTATAAGAGAAATTGATTGAGGTAGTTATGAAATAATAACACCCTTGGGTGGCATTTTTTTTCCATTTTTGTTCTTTTGTTAGGGGCAGGAATAGAATATTAGGGACTAGTTATAATTATAAGAAATATTACTAGTAATGGTGCTCTATTAACCATGATTGCTCTGTTTTGATTAGAGAAAGCACGTTCTAATCTGTTTGAGAGTTGTACACCCTGGGGCATGGGAGCTAACATGGGAATGCAGCTCCCAATGGCCTAGATTAACAACCTTGTTGCCTGTAAGCTGGTCCCTGAGTCATGCAACCCCCAGCCCGAATTGCATGTAACCTGTAACCACTGTACCTTGCCTACTTTCCCATGGAATCTGTGTCTTTCTACCCAAGATAAGCAGCTGGCTTATGGGGAGAGTAGAGCAGATGTTTGTGGATGACCTGCTGCTCTCCCATTCTGCCCACATTAATGGAATAAACGCCATATATGAGTCAACCCAGTGTCTGCTACATTCGTTCAAGTAGTAACCAGCAGCCTGGACCCATTGGTTGTCTGGTTTCACTTTAAGTAATTTTATAACAGTTATTGGAACTGGATAATTAATAAAAATGCCAATCAGTACTTTTTTTCTTCTAACACAAGTCCAAATATTGCATTTACTTACAATTTTTAAAATTTCTTTTAAATTAAGAATGAATTTTTAAATTAACCCAAGTAAAACCATTACTAGTTTAGAAAATAATTAAAACACTCTTTGTGCATTGATTGACAGCCTAAAGGTTTAAATTCTGTTTCGAGGACACCTGCATATTTGTTCTCTAAATGTCTTTCTTGCATGTGCTAATTTAATACTCCTTGCACAAAAAGTTATGTACAATATCTTTTTGATAAAATATTTTCCAGTCCGGCCGGCGTAGCTCAATGATTGAGCGTCAAACTATGAAGTAGGAGATCATGGTTCCATTCCCTGTCAGGGCACATGTGTGGGTTGGGGGCTCGATTCCCATTATGGGGCATGCAGGAGGCAGCCGATCAATGATTCTCTCATCATTGATGCTTCTATCTCTCCCTCCGTCTCCTTTCCCCTCTGAACTCAATAAAGATATATTTTTAAAAGTAAGTAAATAAAGTATTTTCCAAATATACAACTTTACTTTGTTCATTTTTCTTATAAACTACACATTAGTGAATGGTCTGTCGAATTGTGTTTTAGGCAGTTGACTGGTGGAGTTCAGGTGTTCTAATGTATGAACTATTCACAGTCAATGGGGAGAAGAATTTCGGAGGTGAGCTCTCTAGGTAAGACTCCACAAAATAAAATGAATGTGTTGTTACCAAATTAGAATTAAGCGGTTAATTTTAATTGATATAGGGTATATATAGTTATACCTTTATGTTTCTTTATGTTTTATATGCCCAGATAGATGTTAAGTTTCATAGGGAGAGTGTCCTAATTTTTGTGTGTTCCAAAGCAGTTAGCATGGGGCATGAGCTGCTGGCAGAGCCATTTAGAATGCGGGCCATGGGGCCGTTTGGAATGGGTGGCATGGAAACAGTGGAATGTTTGGTGCAGAGTCGGTGGGCGTGGAGTCGGTGGGTGTGGAGTCGGTTGTGTGTGGAGTCGGTGGGTGCAGAGTCGGTGTGTTAAGAGTCGGTGGACGTAGAGTCGGTGGACGTAGAGTCGGTGAACTTAGAGTCGGTGAACTTAGAGTCGGTGAGCGCGGAGTCGGTAGTCGGTGAACTTAGAGTCGGTGAACTTAGAGTCGGTGAGCTTAGAGTCGGTGAGCGCGGAGTCGGTAAGTGCAGAGCCTTTTCATGTGTAGGAAGGGACTGTGCCTGCCTCCCCCTCAGGGCTGTTGGGAAGAGTGAATGTGGCGAAGACAGAGGGCACCTAGTGCAGAGCTGGGGATGGGCAGAGAGACGGTGCCCAGGTGACTCCAGAGTCTGTGAGCAAACCCTTCCCGCTGCCAGGCTTTGATCAGAACTGTGTCCACTGATGGAAGGTCCATGGCTTCCCTCCTACCAAGAATCCTGGGTTCTGGGCCCTGTGGGAAAATGAACACGAGATGGAAAAGCAGCAGCTACCACTCACTCCCAGTCGTTAAAACCCATGAGTGGGGCCAGCCTTGGAAAACTGCCCACCGAGAGAAACAGTCACATCCCGTGTATGCGTGTTCCCAGACTGTGAAGGCACTTGGGGGAGACTCAGCCCCCTAAGACACCCAGTGGTTCTGGGAGGCTCCTGGGGCGGGAGCAGAGATGAGGGGAAAGAGCTGAACGGCTCCCCCGTGTGTGCTGGGCCCTGGGACAGGTGTAAGTCCAGCAGACTCCTCCCATGAGGGGGCCTGCGAGGGGCCAGCCATGGCGTCCCACACTCAGCATGTGCCTGACACCCAGAGGCCCATAGTATTGTTTGTTATGCCTTAGCCCTCATTTCCAGGAAACTGCCGAGAGCTGCCGAGAGCTGTTGGTTTTCCAAGAGGACGTGTGTAAACTGTTCAGATAGGAACTGTGTGTTGAACAAAAGCTCACCCATAGCCATTTATTTCCAGGACCCAGATCAGTGAAGTGACTGTGGAATTGAGAGGCCTGGACTCAGCCCTCTAACCCGGGATAGACTCTTAGCCCCACTCCTTCCTTGTTAAGGAAACAGCTCAGTGAAGCCCCACACCTGTCAGCAGGTGCACTCGTCCAATAGACAAGGATGTCCATGTCAGACACACTCACACCACGTGTACAACGGATTGGGGCACTTTTAGGTTT